CCCCCCCCCGGCTCCAGGGCGGGGACTCGCTCAGAGCAGGGGGGGAGTGGTAGCTGCCCCCCTTCATTTAATCCTTCTCTCTTGCAGTTACGACCGCGCTAGCTTCTACTCCAAGCCGCTCCCCTCCCCAGCAGACCCCAAGCCCCAGGACCCCCTCCAAGGACCTCCAGACGCCAGTGGGACGGTGCCCGCAGGGGGTCTCCACCCAGAGGGGCCGAGCCCAGGGGCCCCCCTGCGATCGGTTCCAGCCAGGCCCCCGGCGAAGGATTCTGGAGGGGCACCCCCGGGGGGGGAGCGGGGCCCCCCCCACAGCCCGTCGCGCTCCAAGGGGCACCCCGCCACCCCCCGCGAGTCCAGCGGCTGCGCCCCCGACCCCAAAGCCTGCAACTGGAAGAAATACAAGTTCATCGTCCTGAACTCCCTGCGGGGGGAGGGGGTGGGGGGAGGAGGCGGGGCCGGTCCCCAGCCCCCCGGCCCCCTGTCCCCTCCCGAGCCCCCGGTCGGTGGAGACCGAGGCGTCTGCCCTGGCGGGGAAGACGAGGGCGGCCCCAGGACCCAGCATGACAGCGCCCCCTGCGGGTGAGTGGCTGAGCTGGGGGGAGGGGCGACCGGTCCCATATACGGGGGAGGGGCACCTGGTCCCATATACGCTGGGAGGGGGAGGAGTGCCCAGTCCCATACACTGAGTGGGGGAGGGGTGCCCGGTCCCGTACATCAGTTGAGAGGGGTGCCAGGTCCCATATATTGCGGGGGAGAGGCACCCGGTCCATATGCTGAGCCGGTGGGGGGAGGAGAGGCACCTGGTCCATATGCTGAGGGGGGGGGAGGAGCTATGCCTCTTGATAGCTAAGCCCCTCCCTTTCCCATCTCCCCGCAGGCCGCCCCCCGCCCCGTCACCGTGCCCCCTGTGCACCCAGCGCCTTCCCCAGGGGCCGCCCCAGCCCGCAGCAGGTGAGGGGCGAGGAAGGGGGCTCAGGCCCATGCACTGGGAGCGGGGAGGGGCCGGTCCCATACGCGCTGTGGGGTGGGGGGAGGGACTGGTCTCATATACACACTGTGGGGGCAGGGGCCGGTCCCATACACGCTGTGGGGTGGGGGAGGAGCCGGTCCCATACACGCTGTGGGGTGAGGGAGGGGCCAGTCCCATACGCACTGTGGGGTGTGGGAGGGGCCGGTCTGATACGCACTGTGGGGTGGGGGAGGGGCTGGTCCCATATGCGCTGTGGGGCAGGGGAGGGGCCTGTCCCATATGCGCTGTGGGCGGGGGAGGGG